GGTTCTCCACTAAATACCACAAGTGCTCGTACGTTGTTGTGTCAAAGCCAATGTGACCGGCTATAGAGTCACTGACCCCTCACTCCTGTAACTGAGGGTGAGTATCTAACGGAGGGCGGATGAACAACCTCGCTGGCCACCGGCTTCTCTGTGGACTGCTTCCGAACACAAAGAAGGCGAATGAGTCACTTGGCTGTCAACGGTCTCCGTGAATCACCCCGCTGCCTTGCGGGTCAGGTCTTTAGACCAAAGGCTCGGGGTGGGGTCCCTTAAGTCAACCCTCTTCCTCGGCATGGGCAACCGGGAAGCTCAATGCCCACACAACACATGGAACTTTGCTTCTATTCCTCTGACTCACCTTTTTGTTATTGTTACTCATGTGTAATAGCACTCTGCCAAATGTTTATTGGGCAAGTGTTAAATACAATAGATACATTAACAGTTGTGCCAAGCGTTGCGCGCCGTGACTTGGTAGCTGAGGGGGTAGGGGTTTCGGCTAATATTCCAGTTGTCCCGGGTTCGAGGTCCGTTAATTCCACTTGACGAGATCAAATAAAGTCGAAATGCGTCGCGTTGTACAGTGTTTTCTGGCGGGAAACACCTAATTTCCATCAAATCCAGATACCATTCTAGTAATCAAATGACCAAGGATCACTTAAGTGCGAATCGCGGTCCCCATTGAGATTGCGCGTCGCAATCCATTTACACAACGAGTGCTTCTAAATGACTCTCTAATCAATATCCCACTGGTATGTTTCGTTTGATCAGCATTGGCAATAATTGCCAAGTCTCTTGATTGCCTCCGAGATATCCAGTCCCTGCTCATCCCCATGACTGAGGTTCAAAATTTCAGTACTCACCTGGCATCGCCATCAACAGCATGTCTGAAGACAGCCAGTTGGTACGGCATCGGATAGGAATCCAACTATGTCGTCGGTACCGAATCCGTCCAGCTTGCTTTTCACATCCTCCGGTTGTCCGGTAGCTGCATTCCGTCATTCGCAGGGCATCAGCAGTGGAATCAACGGTGATCCACCAAAAGTGAGCGGGGTACGGTGTGGCGGTTTCTACTCGAAGACTTCCAACAATCCAAATAATATCTGGTTGTTGATCAAAATCTGCTATTTGTAAAGCAAGTTATCGTTTATCCTGTACGTAAGTGGTAGGCGCTATTTGGTACACGACGTCTTCCGTTGGATACTTTTCACCTTTTGCGTCTTTTGCGGTTTGTTTGTGTACATTGGTTCGGATGTTCTGCTTGCTTTAATCGAGTTCTGCTCCGACTGCTTTTGCTGCCCCGAGTCATGCTCGAATGCATCAGCTCCTCTTTGCCTCTTTAGCTAGCGCACACGCGTCGTCCGCTCGAGACTGTTTTAGCCAATCCGCTTCGTCGAGTTTCGGAACAAAGCTGTGTTTCGTTCCTTCCAGATAGAGCCGATCAGGTATACATTATTAGAGTGATGTACACGCATAGCACAGACAGAGTGAGGGTATATGGCAAACTGGTGCTGTCATTCAGTATCTCCAGTGGGGTGAGATAAGGTCGTCGGCTGATGCCTTTTCTCTTTAAATTCGCCATTGACGAAGTCACGGTAAAGGCGTTCACTGGACACGACTTACAGGTGTGGAGCTGTGACAGCTCCCAAACGTGCCAGGCATCACTGGACAGATTAACTTTGGTTGTCAGTCGTTTTGGGTGATGGTTTGCTCCTTTCAAATGCAAAGTCCTTCTCCAAGATTGGCAGGGACCCATCTCTGCACTGACTTTTAATGGTGATCAGCTAGAAGTCGCCCAGTAAGTTAAGTATTTGAACAGCTATACCAGCGCCTGTGAGATAGAAGATGCCATCACGAACAGCATAGCAAAAGCTCGAGGCGCTTTTGCTGCTTTTGATCACCAGTGGCGCCGGCGTGACATCTCTCACCCTGAAGGGCAGTGTTTACAATGCACCCGTCCTTTCAAGCCTCCTGTACGGTTGTAAAAGCTTGCCTATCAGATTGATAGATCTGGAGAGACTTGTTACCTTCGACCAACGCTTCCTTCGCAGCTTGGATCATATCTGGTGGGAAGACAGCGTGAGCAATGACCGCGTTCGGCGTGTTGTATTTGACCACGCTAGACTTCTATTTCCGAAACCTCTATCCCCTTGGCTACCAGATCACGATGTCGGCCGGTGGCCGAGTGGTCTGTACGTTTGCTTTGCAACCATAAGGTCACCGGTTCGAATCCGCGTAGGGGTGGGCGTCCTCGCGGTATACTCAGCCCGCGCTCGACTGGTGGTGGTCGCGCGGCAGCCAAGCGCCGTTATGGCGTACAGCTGACACATTATTATTATTATTATTATTATTATTATTATTATTATTATTATTATTATTATTATTATTAATACCAGATCACGATGGGCAACTCTTGGCACAACGGTTAATGGCTGAGTGGAGGACCATTTTGAATTACACGTTGTGTGATTGGTTCGTGACGCGAAATCTCAATGTGGACCGCGATTCACATTGAAGTGAACCTTGGTCATTTCGATCACTGGGACTGTAGCTGATGCAGAAAACGATCGGGTGTTACTCGCCTGTAAACACTAAATTCCGCGACTGCTTTTGACCTTGTTCGATCTCAGTAGGTGGATATGGCAGGTCTCAAATCCGGGACCGTTGGGACCTTTTATCCTCTTAGTCATCGGGTCACGAAATTTTACGCCTGGCACAACGGTTAACAAGCAATACACTACACCCGGAATTAGCTTATTGGAACGCACAATCAATGTGATTTTTTTTTATTGAAGACCAGGAAAAATGACAAGTGAGCACTATAGCCGATGAGCAAGAATACAGGTCATCACGAATTTATAGTCATGGTAGTAGTAATAGTAGCAGCAGTAGTAGTAGTAGCAGCAGCAGTAGTAGTTGTAGTAGTAGTAGTCTATGAACTAGACTTAGAGCCAACATTAAAGTGCAGGGTACTGAAAGCATTTTGGGTCTCAGGACAAGAAGTGTTAATTTTCGCACCTTGCGGAACTTTTGTCAACGTCTGTTGACCAAGTTAGATTACGAGATAAATTTACACTAAGGTACTTAACAGTGGATGGACTAAGTCTGTTGTGGTTACTTACCACCACGGAGCGAGAAGTTATTGCTAGAGTCAGATGTTCGTCAGTGCGTAAAAGAGAGCAACTTACATCTTGGCATTTTGAAGCGTTAACAATAAAGAATCAGGATGACGACCACTGCTGAAGCTCATCCAACCAGCTTGGGAGAAAAGTTGCTGATTCAGCATTTGGAGCAATACTGTCTATACATCCCTCGTCAGCATACTTACATCCAGTAAAGTTGGGGAGGAATTGGAAGCATTTCGATGTATAAAGAGAATAGAAGAGGAGAGAGGAATGCTACTTGTAAAACTCCACAGTTACTACGAAGAGTGGGCGCTTTTTCAGCTGGGGGAAATGAGAGCGATTTACGAAGTATTTACTCATTAGGTTGCACTTTGTTGGTTGAACACCATTCGCAGTCAGCTGATTAAGTAGGATTGACCTGTCGACACTTCCGACAGCGATGGTGTAAGTAAGGAAAAGGAATCGCACCTTTTTGCATTTCGCGTCTAATGAAAATGCTATTGAGTGAACGGCATCCAACTTGGAACGCCGGGGTCTGTACGGAAATTGACATATGTCAACGACCGGAGTGCTTACTGATATCCAAGGTACAACTAGACGCTGGATGACTTTCAGCATGGATCTCTTCTTTTACACTGGTGTTACTCTGACAAGTCTCCAAGTGTCGGGGAATAATTTCACCGTGTAGGCACTGATTATAAAGGTCTGTCAAGGACATAGCGTGGGTATCGGCATACTCTTTTAAAACAACTGGTGAAAGAGCATCGGGCCTAATAGCCCTCCTTGAGTTCAAATTCCTGATTTTACATTGGACTTCACCGTGTTGGAATGTAATTTTCGATCCAGAACCAGAGAACGAAGGCTAAGGGAATGAAAATGAGGATGATGCTTCCTGAATTTCTCTACATCCACAGATCCAAGCTGTATACTGAAGATTTGACCACATAGCTGCTTTAGAAGTCTCCACAACTCTCGGTACTTTTGGTTGCACAAAGCGGCTTCGAATTACAAATTATTCAGTCGTGAAAGCACAGTTTTTATTGGTGGTCAATCTATACGCTCCTCATAACTCTTTGAATTTACTCTTTGAAAATTGGACCTGATTGCGACACTTCCCCAACCGGACTTTTTCTGATACAGTGCACTCTCGCTTTTCATCGAATTTATGTGAGTCTACTTCATATCTTGAGTAATCAGACGACTGAGTGAGCTTTCTGCGCTCTTTTTAATTCCTAAAATGCAAGCCTACTTGGTTTGATCGTCGGTATTCACACCGAAATTTCTGGCTACTCATTGTGGTGTAGCATAGAGAACGAGTTTTGCTGCAATAATCACGAAGAGAGAAGAAACAATACTGGCGACCACGTTCAGAAGTTGCATGATCCTTGTCTACTTTCTGCGATCCGTTTTAAGCCTAACTCGGTTTCCGCCATCTTATCGTCAACCGTGATTTCTTCCCCACAGCCTTTTGGGATGTTAACTAATTGGACTGATATATTTCTCAATATTTACTGTTTGATAAGGGTGTTAGTTACATTTCAGGAACATTGATAGGATAGTATATATCCGTTTAAATCAGCTAATTTCACCTAACCTCGGTAACGTTCCTGCTGCTAGAGACAACTGTTCGCTCGCGAAATCTGTATCCGCGAGAAACGCATTCTTCTGACGGTAGAACTTAGTGCACACCAATCAATAGTCTACCATGTCCACTATTCATTGATGCTCCTTAGCATCTCTAGGGCATTTACCTTTCGTAACGTAACTACTGAACTGGTTAACTTATATACATACATGTATACCTGGTTGCTTATTTCGTAATTCACTCTAACATGTTACTTCTTTCCTGCTCCTAACACTCTTGTTGTAATTGCCTAGTATTCCTCAGATTCTAGGCATTCGACAATCAACTTTGCTCCAATTCCCGTTGGCGAAGAAGTCACCGAACAGATGTCTCTTGCAACCACCGACACAGGTATTTTACGCCTCCCATCTGTTTCACTTCACTGAGTTAGATTTGTGCATTTACTAATCTTCAAAAAGCCTATCCGCTTCTCCGTATCCAGCAAGATGTAGTATGTTCACTTGATGGTTTTTTCTACCTATGACAATCTTTTGTGCACGTTAACTCAGACTTCTTGTGTTTCTGTTGGGACTAATTTCATTGAAATGTGATTGTTTGAGCTTATTATGCACGCGTCATCTAATCGGGTCCGCCTCACAGAGTTTCTTGATAAGTGAAACAATTCAGTCCAACATTAACATTTATCCAACATGTCACGTGTTCCCATATGTTCTATTTTAAAGGCGCTGTTCCTCCGAACCGGGGATAATACTTTCCATTTATTGTGTAGCTGTTCGCCTTCTAATGCTATGCTATCGGATCTCGGTAGCGAGTGTGGCAAGCGATGAGTTAGTGCCCGTTTTCTTTTTTTGGAGCGGCGTCGATTTGCCTCACAAAGTATTCCAAGTAAAAGTTAACGAATTCACGTGTATGAAGATAATCCATGTCTACAAACTGTTTTAGTCCAGTCAACCAGCCATTCTCCAAGTACCGAAGCGAAATTGCTCGACTTCCCATAGTCCATGTCAGCCAATGATAGAAACTGGAATCCATAAGCCAAAAGTAGGCAAGCACTTGAATAACTAGTCACTGATTGAAGAATTCTGAAGAGAACTCTTCCGGGTCATTCTCGGTGACGCATGCATGACAGGTTGTCAGTTGTGATTTCTACCAGCATTCCGTCTAACGCGCTTTGATTCGCACTGTAATCACTTCGGAAACGGTAGCATTTTATCGAAGGCGCTTCGCACCGTAACTCTCCCATGTCGCGATCCCCGTCATTAAGAGTGTGCCTCACGGAAATCCAGAGACGCCTCCTATTCTTTACAAGTTATACACGTACCACTACATTTTGCTCCTCTTCCCCGTTATGCGTTTTTTACCAGTTTCATGCACCCTTAGGCCTAGTTTTTCCACACAGTTGGATTGTACGGCCAATGATTGTTCTGCTCTGAACGTTTCCTCCTGGTTAAACCACAGAGTGACTATAACACGGAATGTCCACCAACGATCTGCTTGTTTTATTTTTAGCATGGTTTCTTGCGCATACATCCGTGACTTGCCCAACCATGATGCACCATGACTAGCACAACTGCAGATTGCTTGGTGGTCGGTCTTCCGTTCTCCCGGTTCGGAAACGGAGCCCAGTGTTTCTTTAGACTGGAACCCTTACACCAAACCATTAGCTTCTTTTTCCCGTCTTCGGGTGTATTCTCTGAGTAATTAGAACGAAACGCAAAACAATTATTTTCTGCCCTCGAAAAGGCATCAGCAGTACGCCGGTACGCAGTACCGACGCTTCGCTGCCGCGCAACCACCACCGGTCGCACATAGGCTGTAGATACTGCGGGGTCGCCCTGCCTCTACACAAGCTCGAACCCGCACCGTCGGATTACAAGACAAGCTTCCTACTTTTAAGCTACGGGCCGGCCCTGCCCCCGATTCCACACATATTTTGTGAACTAGGGAGTGTATCCCTTTTTGGGCACTCCTTTAATCCAAATCAGTACACCCTTTCAGCTGCGGTGTGACACTAATGACCGCCATCAGACAACAGGTTATCTCCAATTCCTGCATCCGCACATCTACATACCCTTGTGTTTGTGAAAATTTCCGATGCGAAGTAATGTGCTCTCTTTCCTTGTGACCATACTTTAAGTCTTCATAACCTTGAGCTTAATGTTCAACTTGCAACGCTCTTCTCAACCTGGAATTGTGGTCCTTAATTTTGACTTAGCTTCACCCATCTCACCATCCACACTGTTTTCACTTCTACCCAACCTCTTCTAGCTTCTACTGTACATCACAGGACCTGGGCCTCCAAACGGAGCCACATCTCCCCCTCGTCCCTATCACCATCGTCTATCAGTTCCTCTCGCAAAGCTCTTTCATCCCTCGTTTCCACTTCGTTTCCGTCGACACGAAACTACAGCGCAAAACGTTTGCTCGATGCTCATAATTCTTGTACGAACTCACCATACCTTGGAGAGCAGCGACGACTTTGTAATTTACAGTCCCTGTCATCACCTTTCCCGTGCTACCACTTTAAGACACTGGCTCATCAGCAACTCCGCGCGGTCAGTGTGTGAGTTTATTTGGTCCTATTTCTTTATGATTATTTAACTCATACTGGGTACCTCCTGCGATTGCCGGCTACGTTGCATCATTCCTCTGTTCTAATATGTCAGCTTAGTCGTCGATCAAGATTGTCCCATCGGTATTTCACTAACCCATTGGGCTAAGTTTACCGACGCCTATGCCAATAGATGGGACGTCGCCTGGACTGAGAGCTGTGTGCTGTTGACTGAGCTGCTGTCTCCTTTAATTGTTGCGGAAACTACTTCTGTTGTCGATGTTGGTGTCGAGGGGGAGAGGGGATTTTTCCATCCATTGGTGTCTGTTTGAGCTTTGAATATCATCAGAAACTGATTGTTGTGAGAAATTCATGACCGCTTTTTCAGTTTCATGCTTTTTTACACCAATCACTCATCGTTGCCCTACCACAGCAACTGACCGGTTTCAACTTCCTATCACAGAGGACACTTGGGATGCCTAATCCGCGCAGCGAAACGACCAAGCCCTGGCTTTGGCCGTGTTAAATCCCTTGGAAACCTGTCCACTAAGGAACCTCATTGGAATAGAATGCTTCTCAGAGGCCCAGGGACGGGTGGCGGACGAATCCAATTGCACTCACGCGTGTTCACAAATGAGGGCGAGAACGAATGGGAAAGTGTGCATGCATCAGATATCACGGCGGCTTTCAACCCTTTTGAATGGTGGATGGATGAGCGCGCTGTCGTTAGTGGTGTCAATCGAAGAGCTACATTCAACTTGGGTAAGTCTATTGGTTGTTTATACTGAGCTTCATTTTCTTATCGAAGAACTCGCGCACCTAGAAACATAGTGTTGCTCATCCAAACACTGGCACCCCAAGACCGCGGTTTCGTCCTGGTCGGGCTCATCAGTTGGAGATAGCCTGAGTTGGGCCGGAACTCAGAGCCTAGTGGCTCATGGTTGACGCCATAAGCCCACCGCAAGTGAACCGAGGTCTCAATAGAGGTTGTTTTTAGCAACCCAACCACCAGCGGATTCTCCAATTTCAACTTTGAACTCGCGCACCTCTTAATTCCTCCTGTATTTTGGACCTTCGGATTTCTCCTCGGCGACGCAGCGCCTTGGCATGATCCACTTTCTTTGATTTCCGGCATTTCACTTCCGATTTGTTTTAATCCCATTGGGGTTCGAACGCCGTTGCTCACTGAATCTGGACTGCATCCGTCTTGGTCTGCCGATAAACGCTGCAAAATTCTGCACTAGTGGATGATTGGTGAGAAAGCAGTCGGTCTTATCCATTGGGAATTAGTGATAACATAACTGGCTTAAGAGTACCAGTCATTTCCTAAAAAGGCCACATACTAAGAATACCCGTCCGCTGCTGTATTCGCTCTGAAGAGCATCACTTCAAACATGACAAGCAGGTGTGTCCTATGGAAACTTCTTTTGTCTGCCTTCTGTTTCCTTCCAAGCATTGACTTGATCACAGCAATGCGTCCCTCTCCTCTCATCATCATCATCATGACACCATAGCTAAAGGTCTGAAACACCTCAGCTGTTACGCTGCATTACAAAAACAAAATATAAAAAGCGAGATATGAATCAGTATCAGAAATCATTTCAAGGTAAAGAATTCTTTTCGGTAACTCTCATCGGATCCAAACATTTACATACCAGTGATTGTGGAGATAGCGTCAACTGAGGCTGGGATTGACTTCTTGACTGTTTGAATGACCAAAATCGATAACTTGAGACAAAGATTGCGATGGTAAACCAAGTAAACTAAATACATATGCATACGCAAAGCTCAGTAATGCAAAGTAATTAAGTAGGTAAAAGAACAGCTAAATAACTAAGTAACAGTGTCCGTTGGCCAAGGTAGTAGTATCGGCCGTATGAATCGTTTTTGTATACATAATTCCGGCTTTAGGTAGTGAATGTACGTAGCCTCGGCGATGGATAAGAGCTGTTTGCGGAATCCTTGGGAGAAGTGTTCAGGTAATGAGTAAATGACTTTGAAGTCATTCTCTGAAGCTGTATGGCCACATTCAAGGAGGTGCGACATGATAGAGCTGTCTGAAGACCTCATTTCGCCTCTGTAAAACCATGCCAGGATGTGTTCACGAACCCTCTGAGACAGGCGTCTCGTCGTGCGACCCACGTATCGTGCACCACAGGAGCACGAGTACTGATAAATGATCATTGAACGGGTCAACGGCGGTAGTCTATCCTTCAAGGGTTTTGTAAACAACGGCTTATTGTGGTGCATGATACGTTGGTCACACGACGAGACGCCTATCTCAGAGGGTTCGTGAACACATCCCGGCATGGTTTTACAGAGGCGAAATGAGGTCTTCAGACAGCTCTATCATGTCGCACCTCCTTGAATGTGGCCATACAGCTTCAGAGAATGACTTCAAAGTCATTTATTTACTACCTGAACACTACCCTCAAGGATTCCGCAAACAGCTCTTATCCATCGCTGAGGCTATCTACATTCACCATCTGAAGCCGGAATTATGTATACAAAAACGATTCATACGGCCGATACTACTACCTTGGCCAACGGACACTGTTACTTAGTTATTTGGCTGTTCTTTTACCTACTTAATTACTTTGCACTACTGAGCTTTGCGTATGCATATGTATTTACTTTACTTGGTTTACCATCGCAATCTTTGTCTCAAGTTATCGATTTTGGTCATTCAAACAGTCAAGAAGTCAATCCCAGCCTCAGTTGACGCTATCTCCACAATCACTGGTATGTAAATGTTTGGGTCCGATGAGAGTTACCGAAAAGAATTCTTTACCCTGAAATGATTTCTGATATTGATTCATATTAATGAAATGGGAATCTTTGCTTTGCTGAAGATCAGCATTGCCCGTGATTCATTGAAAAAGCGGGATGCTAATCAGGACAGAATACAAAGTAAAAACCAGAACGTGATATAACATATTAGGCATCCAGATTTTGATTGTTGTCGAAAGGGGAAGCTAAAGGGTAGGGGAAGGGGCAAAGAAACTCACGGCACTAAGATCGGCTATTCAAGATGTCAACAAGGCTCTCCAACTAGTCGTGTTTATTGTCCTTCGGACCTCAGCCCGACATCCGAGCGACACCTAATGATGCCAAGTTCGAACTGAGGGCCTCCATTCCTCTTGGCCAAGTCGTCGCTTGATCTTCTCTCTTATTTTCGCATCCAGACGCCGCTCGCGCAAACAACGCACGACGCGGGAGTACGTTTGGTGGCATGCACGACACGTGGCCTAGCCATCGGAGCCTGGTGCGTGATATGACGGTGCCGAGCTTTTTATTCACTATTCCTGCACCGAATAAGAGGTGCCAACACGCTCGTTGCTCATGTAGTATTCCCACCAGACATGCGCTAAGCTGCAACCGCAACCGTGGTCGAAGGCAACATGTCTCTTTATGTCTATAGACCTGATAGGCCAGGATTCACTACCATACTGGAGGGTTGAATGGACGGCTTCATAGTAAACTCTACCCTTCATAGTGAGAGTGATGTTGCGCGGGCGCCATAGGTGGTGGCGATTGACCAATGCGCCTCGAGTTTCTTCTGTATTGTTTGTGATCTCATCTTGTATTCCACAGGCGCTAATATAGCTGCGATATACTTAAATTTCTGAATGACATCTTCTGATCATCACTGGTTGTCGGTGCAGGGGTAGTTCGCTGATATTCTTGGGGAAGGACTTTGTATTTCGAGATTGCGAAGCATACCCGAAACGATTGGCAGCTAGGGTCAATTTGTCCACTGATGCTTCCGCTTCTTCGGGAAAGCTCGGACGTGTGGCGTGCTGTTTATTTGTGCTATGGGTAACTCACATGTCCCCAAATCGTTTGAGCTGTGTTCACTGCTACTGCGTTGCAGTTCACACGTTCGCGTCTGGCGTCTTTTGTTCGGTTGCTATAGCATATATCACGCACTGTCACTAATGTCACTCAAAATTCCTTCACACATGCTCAGTATGTCCTGTGGCTGCGTGAAAGCAACGCGTTTGCACTGCCGTTCATCCCCATTGGGATTCATACGTATCGTTCCCGGGTGAACTTGCTGTGAATACGAAGATGCAGTTCCTATGTTTGCCATTAACCGAGTTAGTAGACATCACACCGCTGAGGGTACTTTTCTCGTCCATCAACTGTGCACTCGTAGGATGTTTCGCCTCGTCTGTAAGTTTGCTGCGGTGTGCAGTGTTTCTTTTCATCGGTCTTTGCAGTGGTCGGGATTCCTGGACCGGAATAAACCCTAATGCCGTCTAGCTAGCCTGCGCGTGCGATTTGGTCAATCAGCTCTTTCGAATAGGAACATGTGCTTTAAAATGAGTCTCAGCTTTGTCATGACAGTTTATGTGCTGGCCAGTGGTGGTGCACATTTGTTTTGACCGGACCACGCGAAAAATGTGCGTGTTTGCAGTTCACCATTAACATATCTATAACTTGCCAGCAGTTGGGCCTTTTCCTGGACAAGTTTATTCGGTCACTCCCGGTGGCTGAATCCCATCAGGCATTCTTTCACAGATCTGCGTGCTTCATCATCCGTGGTGGTTTTGTTGTGCTAAACCCATCACCGATTAATGAGGCTGTTATTTTTACCTACTGTTAGACGATATCTCGTTCAACATCTTTATTGATTGTCTCATGTAACTCTTGTAGCATCACGTGTGTTTTCTCGACTTCCTATCTGTCGCATCGAACTGGGTGGATAGGGGTTTGGATGCTATTGCAGTATCTCAGCCCACATACAACCATGACTATTTCTTCAAACATAAACTCCGTCCTGTATCGGCCGTCACGCAGATTATCAAGGGTCGCCTTATCTGCTGCATACAGCAGGGCGGATAAGCGAAAACATGTTACTGCTGGCGCCTCCCTTCTCTCCCACATGTTTCTCTTACTCCCATCCCAACCCCATGCCTAACCTTCCTTCTTTAATTCTCAGCTTAATTGACAGCAACCAAAGTGCCACTGGAGTAGAACCATCTGCAGCCACCATCCCACCGCACCTATCGGACGCCTATCGGCAACAGTCCCTTATAAGGCCACGGTGTCCCGTTTCCATGGCGACGTTCAACGTTCGCACTCTAAGACAAATAGGTCATTAGGCTGCACTCGCACGCACATTGGACACACTGGGTAATGGTGTGTGTGTGTTGTGTGTCCGAACCTATGATCAATGACCCTAATGAGGTTGTTGAATTAACTGTACCCGGCTTATCCTCTCGTTATTGGTTGCACACACCCGGAGACGCCGATGCAGCACTCCCGGGTCAAGCTGGTGTAGGTATCATTCTAAGCTCCAAGGCTGAGCCATTATTGGTTGTTTGGATTCCGGTGAACTGCCGTTTATGTGCAGCACGTTTGACGACATCGGCTAAGATTGATTCACGAAGTAGTACGAAACGCTGTTTGTTTATGACTTCCGATTATGCTCCCAATGACTGCAATTCAAATGCTGTCATGGACGTTCTATTACGAACTGAACGCGCTACTATGCAGTGCTACTAGTTCAGGTATCATAGTACTTGCAGGGGATATGGACGCACAAGTAGGGCGTCTGAGCTCTTCAGAAGCTCGGCTGGGTGGTAATTATGGGCTTAACTCCGGACGGACTGACAACGGTGAGCGTCTGCTGCAACTGTGTGCGGAGCACCAGTTGTTTCTTAGTAGCACTGCTTTTAAACACAGTGGGCGCTGAAGTGCCACTTGGCGTCCTCCTGTAGCTGGCCAGCGATGGACCCAAATTGACCACATAGCCA